AATAGTCACTTTCTTATTGACCTGCCATTGGAAGGGGTAGCCTTTACTTGGTCTAATGGCAGGGATCCAGTTACTTTTTCAAGGCTGGATAGATTTATGATTTCTGGAGAGTGGGAAGAGCATTTTTCGGATGTTTCTCAGGCTGTTTTGGTTAGAGTGACATCTGATCATGTGCCCTTGGTTCTCGATTGCGGAAGAATGAGATTTAGACGCACACCTTTCTGCTTTGAAAATATGTGGTTGAGATCTGAGGATTTCCAAGGGAAAGTCCAAGTCTTGGTTGGAGGAAATGAGTTTTACAGGCTCTGCTAGCTATATGTTAGCTAGAAAGTTTCAGATTCTCAAAACTGAACTAAAGAAATAGAACAAAAAGGTGTTTGGGAATCTGGAATGGAAGAAAAATAGAGTTCTTGCTGATATTACTGAGCTTGATCGTCTTACTGAGGTGGGGAAGGATTACGTTCTAGAAGAGCCTCTTGCCAGGCGATTTTTGCTGAGATTGCTGTTATGGAGGAGATTTCGCGGCGTCAGAAGTCTTGGGCATTGTGGTTAAAAGAAAAAAATCGTAATACAAAATTCTTTCATAAACTTGCCAACGCTTACAGAAGATGTAATCACATCGAGCATATCCGTGTGAATGGTTCTGAGCTGTGGATAGAGGATGAGGTGCGCGAGGGAATTGTTTTATTTATTTATTTATTATTATTTTTTTTATCAACAGGTCTATACTGAGACTTTGGGATGGAGACCTACACTTGATGGTTTTCCATTTAATTCTATTTCTGTGTTGGATAGTGATAGGATTAAGGTTCCTTTCACTGAAAAGGAAGTGCTTAAGGCACTATCTAACTGCAATGGCGATAAAGCTCCAGGACCAGATAGGTTCACTATGTGGTTTCTTAAGGAAAGTTGGAGGTGGTGCGAACTGAGGTGATGGGCACCTTTCAAGATTTTTATTCTCATGGCACATTTAAAAAGTCACTGAACGTATATTTTATTACCCTTATTCCTAAGAAGGGCGGCGCCTCTGATATTAAGGACTTTTGGCCGATTAGCTTAGTGGGATGCATGTATAAGCTTATTGCCAAAGTTCTTATCTTTAGGATGAGTACTGTTTTGGATGGACTTATTTCAGAATCACAGAATGCTTTTGTTGGAGGATGGCAGATCTTGGATTCTGTTCTTATCGCAAGGGAATGTGTTGATTCTAGATTGAAGAGTGGGGTTCTTGGCGTCTTATACAAGCTTGATATCGAAAAAGCCTCTGATCACGTTAATTAGAAGTTTCTTCTTTATTTGCTTCGGAGGATGGGGTTCGGAGATAAGTGGATAAAATGGATAGAAACTTGTATTTCGTCCATTATGTTCTCTGTGCTCGTGAACGGTTCCCTTGCTGGTTTTTTTTGCTAGTTCACGTGGTTTGAGACAAAGAGACCCATTATCGTCTTTTCTATTCTTTATTGTCATGGAAGGATTAAGCAGATTAATAAGAAAAATGGAAGATTTGGGTTATATCATGGGATTTAGAGTGGCAGAGATATTGAACATCAGATGCAGATTTTCCATTTGTTGTTCGCGGATGACACGTTGGTTTTTTGTGATGCCGATGCCTCCCAACTCAGATATTTGAGGCGCATCCTTGTTTGTTTCCAAGCGATTTTTGGACTTAAGATTAATGTTGGAAAGAGTGTGATTGTCCCAGTGGGGGATGTTCCAGATATTTTCTCCTTAGCTGCAGTTCTTGGATGTGGAGTGGGCCATTTTCCTCTTCCTTATTTGGGATTGCCTTTGGGAGTTTCCTCTACAAGAGTGGGGAACTAGGACCCGCTGATTAATAGATATGAGAAGAGATTAGCAGGTTAGAAAAAACAGTATCTTTCAGAGGAGGGAAAGTCACTCTCATTAAAAGTACTATCTTGTCCCTTTTTACCTATTTTTTAATCTTTGTTTTAAATCCCATGCTCTGTTGCTGAAAGGATTGAAAAAATTCAGAGGGATTTTCTATGTGGCGAAAGAGGAGAGGAGTTTAAGTATCATCTTGTTAATTGGGAACAAGTTTACAAACCATTGAAATTAAATGGTCTAAGCATTCGTATGCTGGTCCCTTTTAACAGAGCTCTTTTGGGAAAGTGGTTATGGAGATTTGGTAAGGAACTCCATCACCAGTGGCGAAGAGTTGTTTCGCGTCGCTTTGGAGAGGAGAGTGGGGACTGGTCCTCCCATCCAGTCTCTGTTACTAGAGGCGTTGGTATGTGAAAATTCATTCGGAAGGGTTGGGATGTTTTCTCGTCACATATTAGATTTAAGGTTCGTGATGGTAGGCATGTTCGATTTTGGGAGGACTTATGGTGCGGACATCAGTTGGTGTTTCACTCTTTTCCTAGACTTTACAGCATTGTTGATAATAAGCACGCCTACGTAATTGATTGTTATCATCTTAATAGTAGTGGAGTTATATGGGATGTGCGTTTTAGGTACTCCTTTCAGGATTGTGAGATGGAAGAAGAATGTGTTTTTTTGGATCTGCTGTATAAACAAAAGGATATTGGCAGAGGGTGTGACGATATTTTATGGGTCCCGTTGACCCATGGTAGGTATGGTGTCCGATTTATGTTCTTGTGTTTGTCCAATTTCATTGGTCACGATTTCCCATGGAAGTCTATTTGGTGTTCTAAAGCTCCTCTTAGAATCGCATTCTTCGTTTGGACTGCCACATTGGGAAAGATTTTGACAATCTGAGAAGGAGAGGTAACACCATTGTTAATTGATGTTATCTATGTAAAGCATATGGAGAATACGTGGATCACATTCTTATGCACTGTCCTATGGCGTACGATTGTTGGAATTTCATATTTAGCATGTTTGGCGTTTATTAGACCTGTCAACGGATCGGATACGGACCGGATCATGGTCGATCCGATCCGAAACCGATAAGTAATATAGTCGATCCGATCCGATCCGATAATCCGACGAATTTTTAAATAAGCAATCCGAATCCGATACTCACTCTATCGAATGTCCGATCCGATAAATCCGATCCGATTGTGAGTTTTTACCCTTTTGCAATTTACACAAACAAATCAAGCAAATTAAGCCAAAGCTAGGTTACAAAGGGAAAGAGATAAATGAATTTGGTAACAAGAAACTAAAAAATCATCATAAACATGGATAGAGAAAGAGAGGGAAGAGGAAAATCTGAAATAACTTTGCTTTGAAAGATATAAATTAGGGCTTGTAATAAAGAAATTAAAAGAAAATATAGAAGAAAAATGAGACCAAAAAAATGTTTGTCGATCGCTAATTTCCCCCTTCTCCTTCTTGCTGTCGATCTCCATTCACCTGCTCATGCATACAGACTTACCTGCTTCTGGAGTCTTCTTCCTCTCTCGTGAATTAATTGATAGATATGAGTAGGTTTACTATGGTGTGGTGAGAAAGGTTTACTACTATGTGGGTGAGAACACCTACTTTATTGTAAGTATAACATTCTGATTTATTGATTTTTATTACAGTTTTAAAAATATGATGTTGATATATATATATATATATATATATATATATATATATATTATTTTAATCGGATCGGATTATTAACGGATCGGATTAACCCAATCCATATCCGATTTGTTAAGTTAACGGGTTATCGGATTCGGATCATTATCGGATTATTTTACTCAATCCATATCCGAATAATCGGATTGAATTCGGATCAGAATCCGATCCATTGACAGGTCTAGCGTTTATTGGGTAATGCCTAAGCATTCCTTACAACTGATCAACACATGGAAATGATGCCCAGTTAAAGGGTTATGCTCGTGATTATTGGATGATTGTTCCACATTGCGTTTGATGGTGCCTATGGCGAGAGAGGAATAACAGAAATTTTGAAGACAAGGAATCGTCTTTAGCAAATCTAAAAATTCATATTCTTCGTTCTCTTTTCTGTTATGTAAGAGGAAGCGAATGCTTTTCGATTGATGACTTTTTTGATCTTTTGGATGCTATTGGTCCTTAAGTCCTTTTTTACCTTTTGTATTAGGGACGCATTCCCCCTTTTGAACGCTTTTCTAATATACTTATCATTTATCCAAAAAAATAATAATAATGAATAAAAAAAATATATAGAAATACAGTAAGTATATATATATATATATTTAAGGTAACAGATCAGAACGGATCGGTTTTCCCAAGACCCAATCCGTTAACTGAACGGCAAATAGCGGATTGCTATTTTTCTAAACCATCACTGATCTATGAGATCCGAAAACCGAACCGAACCACACGGATCGGATTGGTTCGGACCGAATTGACGAATTATTTGTTCACCCTTATATTTGCATGACTACTAACTATATATTTGCAAAACTACTATATTTGATCAAGATCACCAGGAACCCCCCATCATGCAAACCAAAAATGAGTAACAGAAAAAGAAAGATCGCTTTCCAACTCTCTCTCTCTCTCTCTTTACCTTTCTTGTTTAATCCATCCAAACACAGCTTCTAAGAACAAACTCTTAATACATTTTAATAACACAGCTTCTAAGAACAAACTCTTAATACATTTTAATCCAACCTATAATAACTGATGAATCCTCGTCAACCGAAACATGGCCACTCCCAAGTGGATTGCCTCTTCAAGACCTTTAAGCACCATTCAATATTTCTGCTTTTATAGCATGCATCACCTTGAGTGACTACTAGCTACAAGTTTTATAAAATACATCTCCGTCATTATAATATCTCTAAAAATGAATCCACAACTCCAAGTTGGCAACTTGGCCCAGATTCCCAAAGGAGCAATTTAACACTCACTAGGAGGTTTCTACTTTCTATAAGACCAAGAGCTTATCTCTACAATCATCTTATGAGGAAGCAGCAATCCAACCTCTTTGAACCACGCTAAAAAGAAACCCTTTAAAGTCTCTCGCACAGAAGCCCAAGAAATATGTCGCACTGCCACACATGTGACTCAAATCTTTGCACTTCTTGTAAAAAATATAATCAGAAAAACTTTGATGGTATAAACATTTGAGAATAGCATGAGTTGATCACCAACAATTTTTGTAAAGATATCTGTCCTCACCTGCCTATCCAAAATAAACATATATATTTATATTTAAAGAAATGTGCAAGTAAATATGAATATAACTCGTACCAAAAGGAAAAATACAATACAATAAATGAAGCTGCACCCATCAAATGCCAATGGACTGTTGGACCTCAGTTCATCATCAAGCATTGCCATTTGTTAGGACCCCGTCCCAAAGCTCGCATCATTACCAACATCAACCTCTATCATTGTTGCATCAACGAGAGACTGCAAGCAGGAAGAGATGAATAAGTCAACTATGCCACCATGCATTCCTGTTTTAAATTTTGAATGTGAAAAAATGCTGCTTGATTGTAACAAATGCATCCAATAATTAATTGATAAGCATGAGTTTTGGTTATGAATCACTTCAAAATTTTGAAATCGACTTTTGATGAATGCAAATACATGTAAATACTTAAAACACATACTGAAGAAATTTAGGTTTACTTTTTTTATTTTATCACAATCAAAAATTCTAGCACAAGTGGACTTTACACCGTGGTAACAAGAAACCCTTTAAAGTATCTCGTACGGAAGCCCAAGAAAAATGTCACGCTGTCCAACATGTTATTCAAATCTTTGCACTTCTTGTCAACCACAACATCACTTGTGAAACTTCGGAGCTCACTTAGATCATATTCTTAGTTTGAGTTAGTGAGTTCGCAGGTAATTAGCAGGTGGTGTCACGGCGAGCCCTGAAGTTTCAAGGACTTCTAGTGGCCTCAGAAACTGTTTCTAGAGTTGCTTTCCCAGGCTATCTCATATATAACTCAGTGTACAAAATATTATGCCTTCATTCAAGCAAAAAGGTAAAATGTTAGATACATGTCTCAGAATATCTGAAAAGAATCGATTACCAACTATGCGTTCAAAACAAAACAAGTATTTCTAAATTGTAGATACACTTGAGAATAATCAGGCATATATGAATGAGAATCCGGGGAGTATTGAGTATTCAATATGTATATAATACAAATATGGCTATCTTCTACAAATATCTGTGCTTCATAAGTAGATGATTCCCTAGAGATGTGCCATGGTGAGTGTGTTGCGCAGCTACACTTGAAATATTTCAAGGTATTGTGGAAAATATGCAATTCATCTAATAAATTCAACTAGATCACATAAACAAATTTTGATTTGCCGGTTGCACAGCTATCAGAATAAAATAGGGTTTAGACTAACCTGAAGCTCCTGTTCAGAGCTTTTAAGTCTTTCATTGTAGTCTTTTACTTGCTCATAACATTTATGCAGCTGCATATAATTCACAGAATACAACTATTATCCCCAAGCGAAGCTCCAGATGAATTTACATATAGAAAAATGGTTATCAAGGCAATTACCTTGATCAATTGCATCCGACGGTGAGAGGAGAGTTTCTTTGCAGTTGTCAATGCATCCTCCAATTTCTGCAATAATACCCTATTCTCAATAAATAAAAGTAGACAAGGCCAGTGCTTGCTCTAGAACAAACATAAAGTAGTGACATATTACACAAGTAACATTCTTCATGATATGAAACTAAAATGCAAATGTAATCACAACAAAAATAACCTGTGATTTCTCCTGTAATTTTGAAACAATTTGTCGTTTCTCGTCTGCCAAGACTTCTATCTGCGGTATCTGCCAAATTAATGCATATTAGATCTTTCACTACTACAGTAATGATAGTGAAATTTATAGACAAAGATTAAAATATGGCTTGTAACCAGGTAGCCTCAGGGTCCTAACATGTCATCACAAGAAAATAGGAAGTTGTCACGAGCAGTGAAACAGAAGACCGTTTGCTAAAATGGTAATTTAGCCATATAAGCAACGGATAGAATTAGCAAGGAAGTTCCTATTTAAAAGTTATAACTGTGACTTTCTCAGGTGAAGATGAATGAATACATAAATATTGTTTTCCACAATCGCTTCAGAAAATACCAATCTCAATAATAAGGGCTTTATATAGGAAGGAAACAGAAGCTGAGACATGTTTATTTCATTTCAATCACCTAATATCACATACACACGCAGTCACATATGGAGAAAATTTTGCAGCCAACCTTGAGTGACAGTGTACTTTGTTACAAAGTTGTTGAGTTGATTTACCTCGATATGTACAAAGTACCATTAACAAACCCCACTCTGGGAGGCTGCAAGATCAAGTCCCACCAGGATCTTTTATCCCAGCCAGTAGGTGGTACTCATTAATTTACATTTGTTATTGTGGCATGAGTTTTTGTCGCTATTGGATGCAAAACAATCAAGCAAAACCGCTCTAGAGACTGCTCAATAGCAATGAGAAACTTAAACAATAGACACTTTTCTCTGTTGATTCAGAATCCAAAAAGAAGGCAAACCTCCTTTTGAAGTTCTTCAAGCCTTTGCTTTGAAAGGTTCAATTGTTCCTCCACCTGATAATATGAAACAAAAAAATTATAATTGAAACGATGATGATTATGTGAGAAAAAACATCATTATCAATGCCATCTATTACGTTCTTTTGATTCACAAAACAAACAATCAGTGATAGTTTTATAATTGGTGCATACATCATAAAGCTTGAATGTCCAGAAAAGAAAAAAGAGTCTACCTTATCACAATTGTCATCACTCGAATCTGATGAAAGCTCCCTACTATGTCGGTCACTCAAATTAGAGCTGCTGAACAGAAAGAAGAAGCAAGGCTGAGTAAAACCCTACCTAATGCATTAAACTGTTATAATCCCTATCAGCCTTGTTTGACATGTTGAGATCAATTAATTTAACAAACATTAAGGTCAATGTGCTAGATACGATTTATACCATAGACATAACAGAAAAACACTAACAGAATGCATAGAATATCTGACAGGACTCCCTCCCTTACCCCCCTATCAGCTTTGATTGACGTCATGTTGTTGAGATCAACTAATTTAACCTCTCTGTCAGTGTGTGTTCCTCCCTTGACCTTCAGTAATTATTATAGCAAACAATGTGCTAAAACGTAGCTATAATAACAAAGCAGGTTTCATAATTATACAAAACAATCAAAAACGATATTACTTAAGAACATTGAATACTAGAAACTTCATAACCAGATGTTGCAAGCCACAAACATATTACAATTTTGAATTGCTTTGCCCATCAAAGCCATCTGTCTAAATCAGTTTTACAAAGTGCACATCATTTTTGTGTTTGTGTTTTGCAAGTCAAACCTAAAAGCCTTAGTAGAATATAACGTCTTGATCTTATATGAATACTCTGATGAGGAAATGGCTTCTAATTATTTGAGCCTTTGAGGTATTCCATACCAGAGCCAAAGCGATCATTATATTGCTAATAAATTGTGTAATACATTGGAAAGAATATGTTAAATATCTTTAAGTGCATCTGCTGTCTTAAACCAAAAACAAAAGTGACACGGATGAAACATTGTGCATATTATGTTTTCTCTCCTGTTATTTACACAATCTCTTCCATGGCCCCCATCCTCCCAAGAATGAAATTCTAACACAATAGCAAGAAAATAAATACTCAAGACTTTGCCTAGAAAGTCACCTTATTTTCTTTTACAGATGAAACTGTTTAAAAGGTAGTAGATGTCTTAATGCAAGGCATGGCCAGCTAATCTAAAATCTTTAGAAGTACGGAATGTTTGTGCTCGCCAAATGAGTGAAGAGGGAAACTAAATGAAGCTAACAACAACTGTATTGTCCACTTTGCCAATGCCTTTCCAAGGTACAAACACGATATTACCGGCACAAAGCTAATTTTACCCTACAATACATAAAACAGTTCCATTCTCTTTTTAAGAAATTAATGGTTCCAGTAATGATGCCAAGCTATGCCATAACTAAAATTTGCAACTGAATGTGATCCCAAAAATGTAGGTTTAATAAAAACAGATAAGACAGCGCTAACACAACTTGCTCTGAATATGCTTTGTTTTCCGAACCCCACAACATTCTAATTTCATCAATAAAGTTGCTGTATGAACGAAATTTAAATGATAAAGATGACAAGCCTATACAACCTTTGTTGGGTTTTAAAAAGCAAGCAACAAATCAGATGTATCTTACCCATTCCCTTTCTTCGGTGTATAATCTTTATCCTTGTCTCCACTTTTCAGATGATCCTTAGTTCTCTTTATCTCCTTTTCTCGACCTCCATCCATTTCACGGTCTCTTTCCCGCTCCCATTCATGGTGCCTATCATGTTCATGCTCAGTATCCTCCATATCTCTATCTTCATCTCGATCTCTATCTCTATCTATGAAACGATCTCTTGATCGAACGTGATCTCGTTCACGGTCAGATCCTCTTTCCCTGTCTTGGTCATGGTCCCGAGATCGCTCTCTATTTCGATCCAAATACTGATCCTTATCATGATCATAATCCCTTTCTCGACCTCTGCCCCTATGCCAGTCTGTGCCCCTCTCGGGGTTCCGTCGAAAACTTTCACGACCAAAATTTGATTTCCCACCTCTAGCTCTTACTTCATTTACTCTCACAACTCGTCGATCAATAGTCTGATTTAAAGCATCCGTCAAACGCATCCAATTTTTAAAACATAAAATAGAAAACTAAAATGCACAAGTATATCCTGCACTAAAATTAAAATAAAGGAGTTCCAGATGACACAGTTATTCATTAAAAAGTACCACATCTTAAATCTAAACCAGAAAAAATGTGCTTGCACGTGTATGAGAGGTTTAAGAAATACCCTGCCATTCATGTCATTGATAGCATCAACTGCTGATCGCGAATTTGTGAAAGTAACGAAGCCATAGCATTTTCCCCCAACACCACGATCATTAATTATCTGCAGTGAAAATGTGTTAGATTGTTAAAAATAAGCAACCCTTTTCAAATGAAGTTGATAGCAACCAAAATTGTAGAAGATGTTCAACTTAATTACTGCAACTGCAGAAACAAAATATTGCTGCAACAATACTATCTGAATTAAAAGAAATATTGTCAGCAACAGGAACAATACTATCTGAATTAAAAAGAATGTTTGCTCTAACACTCACTGTCCCCAACGCCATAGGCATACCAACTCTCAAGAACAATACTATCTGAATTAAAAAGAATGTTTGCTCTAACACTCACTGTCCCCAACGCCATAGGCATACCAACTCTCAAACTCATATCCCGAAAATTCAATGACAATTTTAGCTCCGGCCCACTTTACATCCATTAAGGTCCGCCACCACCCCCCTAAACATGGTAATTTAGTAAATGGAGAATTTGCAATTGTTTTACGCTGATAATTCATCTATAAATCGTGTCATGTTACACTACATTCTCAATATCCCTCAATTTGGTAGCTCAAAAATGGCCGAACAAAAAAGATAAAATTAGGAATCTTAAACATTATTTTGTTTTGGTTTTCCAAAATAATAATAATAATAATAATAACTCCACCAAAGCTATGTTTAGTTGGGTTGCAGCCTTTTTCTGTAAATTTCTATTGAGAGTAAACGATGATTTTGTTTCTTTTCCAACCATTTCCACCAGCAACCAAACAGTGCATTAATCGAAATAGAAAACTAACACAAAACAGTAAAAAGAAAAATAAAAATAAAAAACCCTAGGAAAACAAAACCCTCAATACGTAAAGACCTGAGACACAATTAAAAAAGTAAAACCACAAGAAAGAGAAGGGGCATAGAGAGAGAGAGAAAGACCTTAACGGCAACGACCGATCCATACAATTCGAATGCCTTGCGAACGTTGTCTTCAGTAGTATCGTATGGTAGTCCACCGACGTATACCGATTTGTCGTCGTCAATCGTCATTTCTCACCTCAACCAAAGAATCAAATCAGCTTCAATATATATATATATATTCGTGTATATATACAAATTTCAAAGCTATAACTGTGTGTATACAGTACAAGCCATGAATAGCACGTTTGATGTGCAAGAGGAGAAAGGTTAATGGATGGAAGGGAAAATGATAAAGATTTGGTGTATTTGGGCCTGGTACATTGGTTACCAAACTTGGGCCTTCCTTTAAGTTTGATTTCTTAAATTGGGCCAAATGATTGGACTAATTTCCCTTACATTGGGCTAAACTTTAATGTTGCTCGGCTTAAATTAGTCAGCCAGATCAGAGATTGGGTCGTCACAACTGGGGCTAATAATGGGTCAGTTGGGTTGGGTTTGTTGGACTCATGTTTTTTCAAGACTATTTACTTGGGCATGTGATTTAATGGTTGGTCCAAGCTTTGGCCCATCCTCCATGTACATATTTATAATTTATACAATTACCTTCACCTTCCGAAATATATATACACATATATATATATATATATCAAGAATCAACTACCACCAAGGTCCAAGGGTGAGTGGTATCATCTCCTTCCCAATGCAAACTCAAGATTGAAGGTTTGAGTCCTTTTAAAATAATATTTGTTGGAAACTCTTAATCGGGGCTTTGGAACTCATGATAAGTCTTTTAATCTATTGATGTGGTTTCGAGAATGTAAAAGCTCTGAAGAATTATTTATTTAGAACTAAGGGCTAATTTGGTGCGATAGAATAAAATAAAAGAAAGTGGAATGGAATGATTTTTTTTTTTTTTTTTTTCCATTCTTGTGTTTGATGTCAATTTTAAAGTTGGAATCATCATTTTCCACTATTCTTGGAGAATAGTCATTCCATCAAAATCATTCCACCTTCAAACAAAAGGAATGACCATTTCATTCTCTTCTCATTCCATTTTCACCTCTATTCTCATTTCATTCCAATTCATTGCGCGGTACTAAACTAACCACAAGTGTAAATTGAGTCTGCCTCTTTAGTCCTAAAGTTACTTGTTAGATTTTTGTTGAGCAAAATGAATGTAAGAGACTCACCAATCACTAGCAAAATAGTTGCAATCATGGGAGGCGGGCAAAAAGAATGTTAATACGTAAAGTGAAAAGACCAAAAGGAGTTAAAAGACGTGCATTTTGTTTCAGCCCTCTTGTGCTTCAACAACAATGGTCTCTTTCACTTGTGTGCGACAAAAAAGCTTTCAAAACTTTGGGTCTAATCACTAATAATGCTACTACCATAAAGGAAGTCTTGGGCCTAAAAATGCAGGTCACCCTCATGAAATACTGTTTTAAGGGGGAACATTTCAGGTCTTGGTTGATCATGGTGGGATCAATTCCAACAACCCATCTTTGTCTTTGTCTTTTTTTAAAAAGAAGTAACCCTTTATGCATTCAAATTGCTTTTGTGATTAATCATTTCAATATAACACAAAACCACTTTTAAGAGAGTAAGTAAATATTAGCATCATTACTGCTAGTCCTCCATCATTGTCACCATTATTACTTATTAGTACTCCCATGCCACTGTTCATCCATAATGCCATTGTGGCCTTGCTTGAACTTGATTTTGAGAAATGACTAAATACCCCTAATAACAGTAACCATTGTTTCCTAACTTTCCAAAAATCATCTCTGAATTTTTCATTGTTTAAATCAAAATCAAGAGAAAACTCTTCCCACAATTGATTCCACTTGATTATGTTGTTAATAATTGGTGGAAATTTACAATTCTACTAGGGTTATGTCGAAAGGATTGTAAGAATTTCACTATCATGATCAAAAACAATAATGAATTCAGAGAGTTCAGAATGAATAAATACCATTACACTAGGGTAATATAACAAATGTAGAAATTATCAAAATATTCTGAAATGTTAGACCCGCTAAGTTGAATGTACAATATTTATTAACCTCCACACCATCTATCACTCCTAACCAAAACTCATCTCTAACAATTACGCCTTAAGAAAATTTAATCATTTATTGACTACTTATTAATAGAACTAATATTTTCAACTAGTGGCTTTTAATTTAAAGTCTGCCAAGATTGTTATTTAGTAATAATTTTTCAACTTATAAAGCCTTTAAAAATAGAAGATTGAAGATTCAAATTCTCAAGCGAGTGTGCGAGTTAAAAAAAAAAAAAAATTAATATAAGCATTATACACAAAGATTAAAAGGAGGACAAACATGTCTACACAACACCATAGGAAAAAAGTGTTTGATATGCTAGAGATCTCCTTTTTTCAATAAATGAATACTATAGTACCAAGTTAGCTTTATTAGGAGAGCTCTTCTTGTTGCTTTTAGGGTACTTTAAAATGAGTAGTATAATTGCCACCTTATCTTTTAAGAAATAGGGTATAATTTGACAATAACATTCTTCGTGAAAAGAAAAACGAAAGCGAAGGTTGCTGTCAACACTAGAATTTGCTTAGTCCTCTTATAGCCTTCTCTACCATTTCAATGTAATCACAAAGATTACAAGTACCTGCAGGCAGGTCAGCTCTTCTAGAATGCATAAAGTCCAAATTTATTTGCTCACCAATATGAATCTAATTGTTTGCTGTTATAAAAAATAAAAAATAAAAAATAAAAAACCTTAAAGCACTTGGACCTAAGACGCACGGAGTAAGTATGCGTGAGTGAGAGAAAGAGCGAATACGAGAGTGAAAATGTAAACGGATAAAATTTAAAATTTACTCCGAATGAGGATGTGTGTATTTTTTTTTTTTTTTTTTTTTAATATTTGAACATATACTAAAGGCCATTATATATTTTGTCAAATAATAAAAATGTAATTTCATAAGTACTAGAAAATGTATTTGAGTTATAAGAAATATTATTTATTTTATGTTAGGAGATACATAATATTAGTAATAATTAAAATAAAACTTAGAATGTATTTTTTATTTTTTAAAAAATGATACCTTAGAAGTCTATATGCTTTTATAAATTATTTTAGATTCGGAAAGAGATATTGTTTAATTTTTATTACATAAAATGATTACTTTAAATAAAATAAGAGTAGTGATAGGAAATCGAAGATTTCTACGGAAAGAAAAACCGAATCTTTTTGGCTAGGTGTAATGGGTGGGTAATTGTCCATTTACCCAAAAACTCGAATTATTGGGTAATCCTGCATACCCACCCATTTATACCTAATCACTTTCCCATCCGATTCCGATGTAGGATAAATAACTCTTGTTGCATTCTCCCCCACCCAAACTCACAACACCTTCATTGCGACTCGAGCCACCCTGCCTACCCGGGGTGTTCACCTAGGCTCCTTCCGGGCCGGGCGCTTGGTGTGACACCGGATCAAGGATTGGAACTGGGTCTGACTCTGATACCAACTGTAATGGGTGGGCGCTTGCCCATTTACCCAAAAGTTCGAACTATTGGGTAGTGTTGCATATCCACCCATTTATACCTAATTACTTTCTCATTCGATTCCGATGTGGGACAAATGACCCTTGTTACACTAGGCCACATCAGATTCTTTTCTAAACGTTTCTCTTTCTTTTCCTCGCCGTTTATCTCTCTCTCCTCTCTTTTCGTCAACCGTTTCTCTCTCTCTCTCTCTCTTCAAGTCCTAATCCTCTCTCATCTGCCTTCCTCGTCATTTCTCTCTCTCTCCTCTCTCTTCAAGTCCTCATCCTCACCTTTTTGTTCAAGTTCTTATAATATTCTCTTCATAGGCATCTCTACCTTGGGTTCCAAGGAGATCTTTCAAATGAAAAAAATATTCAAAAGAGTTGCCATCACAACATGTATTAATTTTTTACAGAATGAAAATCAAGAGAAACTGATGAATCTTTTCAAAGCTTTGAAGGCAATAGATTACTATTGCAACCTTTTTTTTTTTTCTTTTTTCTTTTTCTTTTTGTTATTGTGCAGACTTTATTGGCAAATATGTAATCTAAAAAATATAGAAAACAAATTATATTTCAGTTTTGTCATACTTGAATCGCAATATGTAAAACAATATACAGATTGTTCCATCTTTAATTTGGTTGAAAGTGAAGCCTTCATAATCATCGGTTCTGTTTTGACCGAAATGATAGAATTATATATCATCCATGGATTAAACCCTTGATTTTAAGAAGCAATACAAGATGGAATTTTATTTTTGTTTTTCTCTTCAATTTTGCGAGAGAGAGAGAGAGAGAAAAATAAAATAAAAATAAAAAATTAATCGAGAACTAGAAGAATGGAGGAAGAGAGGAGAGAGAAAAGTGGAGGGAGAGGGAGAGGGAGAGAGGAGAGAGGAGAGAGAAACGAAGACATTTACGCTTTTAGGAAATACGTGGCCTAGCCACGTTAGGTTCGACTTTTTATTCGGTTATTTAGTTCGGTCATTTTATCATTTTTCATAAAATAATATGCCCTAACTAAATAAAGTAAAATTAAAAAGTATCTATAATTTATTTTCAAATATTTTTGTGTCTATACATTACAGGCACTCATTTAATATTTTAAACTTAAATAATAAAAGCGATCAATATAAAACCGACATGAATATGGCAAGGATTTGTTCTTAGTCTAGTTCTATACATTTTTAATCGTTTTTATTCAATACTAGATACATTCTGATAATTAACATTCATAATAAATTCATAATCAAATGAATGATAAATTATTATGAATTTGACTATTAAGAAAAAATGAATTTGTGAATTGCGAAAAAAATTTACTCTCAAAGTGTTAATTTACACATTTCCTATTAATTTACACGCAAACGTCACCCTTCAAAGCATTGTGTGACTTAAGGATTGACTTCTATTTAATAATTAAAGATGATTGATTAAAATTTGCAGTTAGACCATTCGCTTTTCTTATTTCTTTGATTAACAAACCAAAAATGAAAAGAATGATTATGATGTGATTTATTGTTGAAGGTAGAAGTCCTTGACCGGAAAAAAAGTGGATTCCCACTCCTCACTTTATTCTCTCGATTTCCTCTACATAATGGATATTAGGACAATGAACACCAATTATTATTATATTTATTATTTTTGATTATGGAGATGTTGAGATCAGTATTAATTAAGGCTGTGCAGGTTCACTCCTTTACTTATAACTTCAATAAATTTAATTAGTTCCTACCATTTCTCTTTTCA